AGAGAGAGAGAGAGAGAGAGAGAGAGAGAGAGAGAGAGAGAGAGAGAGAGAGAGAGAGAGAGAGAGAGAGAGAGAGAGGTGGCGTGCGCAGTGCCAACAGCGTGCCACGTTTCTTCTGTTTTCTCCTTCTACTTCGTGATGATTGTAGTTAGGGTTGTCGTCGTGCTCGTTCTTGGGTGGGCAGAAGGGAGAGGCATAGAGGGAGAGAGTGCCCCGCGATCAGTGTCTCGTGGCACGCTTCTTTGGTCCATCTATCGTCTTTGTCCTTGTCCTTTTTTTGTCCCTCTTCTTCTTTGACCTTTCGTCCCTTCCTTCGTTTCCGTTGCCATTGTAGTAGCCCTCTTCTCGTCGAACTTCATTGCCTTTGTTGTTTTTCCGTTGGCGTACTCGATGAGTGGATTTTTTCCTTCGTGTGTTGACTGAGATTAAGTTTGTTACCTGTCACAGAAAGAAGAAAAAAAAGAGAATGTTACCTGTCGATTGATGAAGGCGGCAATGATTGACAGGGGATAGAAGCGTGTAGGGGAAAAACCCTTGGGCCTTTTTGCTTTGAGCAATGACGGTGACGGTGCTCCCCCATCTCTTTTTCGGTTTCTAATAGAGCACAGCTCATCGGGGGGACATGTTGAACATGAAATGAAGTTCAAATCGTGCTAGTTAGGATGGTCACTGGCTTTCGATTGAACTTCGAGATAAGGCGAATAACCTTCCTTCTTCTGAGTATCAGGAGGTTCGAGAGCTTATTCAGTACACGTATTTTGTTTCCCCCTCCTTTTTTCGAATTCCGGTAAAAAACGAAACCTCGTTGCGGATTGTCTTTCCAATGACTTTGAAGTGAAGATTGAACAGTTTTCTGCCGACTTTTATTGTGAGTAGGGGGCGAAACCCCATCTGTGTGTTTTGGGGTTAATTAATGTCGTGGTACTTTCATAGGAAGTTTCGTATTGGGAGGTACTTGGTCGTCCATCCGTCTAATCTATCTAACCAACGGGGCTTAGCTCAGTTGGTACACCCATGAACTGTCGAAATACGGACCCGCCCAAGTTCGAATCCAGATGAACACAATAGAATCACTCTGACTACCTGGGCCGATGTCAGTTCACTATCGATAGGTCAAGGCCGTCGCCCTTTTACAAGAAAGAGACGAGAAAAAAAAAGAAAAGAAAAGAAACGAAAAAATTGATCTATGCTTGCAGGAGGGCACGCACTTGGGGCAGCAGAGAAATTAGGGCGCGGTCCCAATCATACTTTGCAGTAGCATCGGGGTAAGTGGGACCCCAAGTGCAAGAGCAGTGGTGGCGTGGCTGGCGGCTGCCCATGTCCAACAGAGAGGATCAGGTGGGGCCACCAGATCCTCTTCCCCTGGATGCCTGTGCGTGCGGAGCCAGACCCTACGTCGGTAATGGTCCACCGGTAAATGATGAAAAAGAAAGCAACACCAATGACGAAAAAAAAAAAAATAGGGCTGCATTGTGTCTGTGGTCCTCCCTCCCTCTCTTGCTCTCTCTCACAAAGGCGCCATTAGTGTTTATTTATTTCAATTTAGACCAGCGAAGCATGCGTCGAAACCATGAAAATAGGGTGTCTATGCTGGCGAGCACGAATGGTTTGTTATCTGGGATTGTTTTTTTGCAGGCAAGGGTGTTGATTGATATCCTGGTTGGTCATCGTCCCGTCGTTTGGCCTGTGATGTTGGGGGCGGTGCTTGCATGTGGGACTTGTCATCTAGGATCTGTTATGTTTGTTTCTTTCTGTTTTGTTATATTTGGCTGTTTCCTTCCTCTTTCTTTGCCTCTTTGCCTTTTGGCTGTGTGCAAAGTGGGTCGATATGACACACGGGGTGGGGGCAGCTGCCGCTCAACCTACACCTACGTGGGCCGCCTTGTACGCAAGAGGTTTTGAACAGGGGGAGTTGTATTGATGTCTTTCTTATTTCCTTTTGTGTTTTTTTTTCGCTTTTGCGCTCTGATATCTTTGTGACGATATATATTATATATACATGTGTACATACATTCTGCATCGTATACTTGCTATTGATGGAGTTCCTGTGCTGAGCGTGGAACAGTCCTCTGGATCTGGCTGCTCATGAAAACGTTTCTGCACTTTTGTATGTACAGGGGCCTGTGGATTCATACTACCAAAATAGCACTTTGTTGACGGAATGTAGTCGTGATGGCGGTGATGTAGCACTTTGTTTCTGCAGTCATTGAACTACCAAAATAGCACTTTGTTGACGGAATGTAGTCGTGATGGTGGGCACACAAAACGAGAGGAATGTTGGAATGAAAATGGAACACCAGAACAGAAAACGTGAAAGTTGTGCTGCCGGGAGGGAAGTGGTGGTTGCGGGCAAGCAGTTGACAAAAGAACGAGCATGGCCGGTGCCTGCACGTGTCTGATCAAAATGTCAACCAGTGAGAGAGAAATGGGAAAAGTAGTGAGAAGAGAAGAAAAGCATTGGGAGTCTGAAAAGAAAATACCCAAAAACGCGGGGAGAAAAAGCCGGAGTGGGAAGCCGAGAAGGGGTGGGGAGAGAAAGCGCAGGGGGGGTGGTGAGAGATGATGGGAAGGAGAAGCGAACACAGCACGATCAAAGGGTTGTCAGTATATTGGCTCAACGCGTTCCTTTTGCTTTTTTGCAGATGAAGTTAAGGAGAACGGGAAAAGGGGTTCAAATCGGACGGTCTGATCAGGTCTGGCAATAGGAAGTTGCCCGGAGCATCGTGATTCTGGTGGTTGGGGGGCGTGGTGATGTCCTTGCCGGCCATAAACAAGTATCTGGTGCAAAGACTGGCATCTGCTGGGGTCAAGCTTGTTTTTCTATTTTTTCCCCGACTCGTGGTTTGGTTTGAATCGCAGTTGGGTATTGGAAATTTTCTCTGTACGTATCCACTGTTACATTTCGGAGCTTGGTTTTGAAATTCAGCAATGTTTGCGAAATTGGTCAAAACCCTGCAGAAAGAATGATAACTGCTATGAATCTGTTTGCACAGGATTGAGCAAAGATGGTAATTGCTACTTGCTTTTGTCCCTTGTGTTGTCTGGTACAGAGCGCAGCACAATAAGTGTCAAGCCCAGAGTTGGAATCAGGGGTGAGTGCTCTGCCCTTGAATTGGAAGCTCCTGGCTGGAAATGATGATGCAATATAAGAAAGCACGACTGGCAATGAGATGTATCTCTCAGTCCGTAGGCCTGTTGATTGAAATGAAATATTCCAGTCTATCGATTTGTCCATTTGCTGGACCGTCCCAAGGATGGCTCCAGATATTTTCTCCAAGGTTGAAACTTGAAATCCTTCCAAGAAAAGAAATCCCTGCAGACCATGAAAGAAGTGGTAGGGGACTTGAGTTCCATGGTGTGCCTTTGATTGCCTTTTTCTTTTTTTTTTTCCTTTGCTTTTTCCTGTTGGTGCTCATTCTAGGGGCTTCCCCCAAGGTCTTAACCTTCACTCCTAGGGGCTTCCCCCAAGGTCTTAACGTTCACTCCTAGGGGCTTCCTCCAAGGTCTTAACGGTCACTCCTAGACCCTTGGAACTCTACTCAAGGTCGCCGCCTGGTGAAGTGGTTCCGTAATGTTCACTTCCCAGCTGATTTAGTTAATGAAGTTCCAGATATGTATCTGACTGCAGTTAAGACCTGATTCAGTTAAGAAAGTCCTGTCTTCTCTAAAGGTTGAAGAAAGCCCACTATGAGGGTGCGCCACTTAGATGGATTGTGGGACGGGTATCAGACGACTGACAGGGCACACTGTTGTCAGGGTGTGTCTTATGTCTTTCTCTATGTCTCAGCTGTCCTTGCATGCATCTTTTCACACCCCCTGTCAACCAATTGGCTGCTCATCTGGCCCCCACCCATCTGTCGATCTGCACATAGGCCAAACCATCTGTTTCTACATCAAGGTGGTGTCAGGAGTGTTGATTTGTGCAATGGTATTTAAGCTGCAAAACGAGTCATTATGTTCGACCTGAGCGAAGAGGAACTGGAGTTGTTAAAGCATGTAATCATCAAACAAGGTGCTCCTGTCAGTACTGTCGATTTGTGCTATGGTCTTCAAGCTGCAAAGTGAGCCATATAGTCTACCTGAGCGAACGTACTCAAATTTGAAGGCCACACAATAGAGACAGAAAAGGCAATGACCACAAGTTACCAAAACAAGAAAAGGCCACAAGGGACAAAAAAACATTATCATGTAATTTATCTTTTGCCATGATAAAGTTATTGTGCCTGATGTGGGTCTGAGTTTCTGTAAAAGGATTTTTGTGAAAATGCGTTTGACACCACTGACCGCCTGGGGCATGTTTGGTGCCAACCAGCTGAGATAGGTGGCTTGCTCCCCCTTGTCGGGATTGGTAGGGTCTTTACTGAACACGGGCGAATGTCTGTGTGCATGTGAGTGGGTTGTTTGTGGTGTGCGGGAGAGTGTTGGTATTAGACGCTGCTGATGGGGGTGGGGGAAGAAGAGAAGGGAGGCAAAATGCTCGGTCTTTGTGTTATCTGGAACCACACCAGTGGGCCCAGCCTACTCCCTGACCACTGCCGTTAGGGCAGGGACCAGCATGCATCCCCTCCATTGTGAGAGGTAGTTATGCTTGTGAAAGGTGAATTTGAGAGAAGAATAGAGCTTAGTTAAGCAAAACGACAGAAAAAGACAAAATTGAGCACAAGAGACAAAGCGAGGATGATCACAAGAATCGGTTGTCTGGGATCCTGGACAACCAGGGTATTGGACATCCAATGGAAACGTCCGGCCCAGCTGTCCGGCCATCGGACAGCTGGTGACTTAAGAGAAAAAGACAACATGACCACAAAAAAAGAGACAGAGAAAGACAAAATGGCCCAAAAAAAAAAGACAGGAAAAGACAAAATGACCACCCGAAAACGACACAGCTGGTGACTTAGAGAAATAGATAACATAACCACAAAAAAAGAGACAGAAAGACAAAATGGCTACAAAAAAAAAAAAGACAGGAAAAGACAAAATGACCACCAGAAAACGACAGAAGAAGACAAAATGGCCATTAGAAGAGGACAACAAAAGACAAAATGACCAAGAGACAGTGAGGATTATCACAAGAGAGAAAAAGACAGGGTCTAATCAGGGCCCGTGTTGGGGCTGGGCTCTGCCGTGTCAGAAGAGCTGCGATGGAGTGGTAATAGGTGCATGGTCGTCTGTCATTGTGGCACGTGCTTGTAGTAATCTGTTGATCGTTGTGCAGAAAACCCATGTCTTGTGATGGGCGAGCGATCTTCACACCAGCTGTGTTTGTGTCAGTGTGTGGATGGAGATCAGGTGTGGAAGGAACTTCATCCATCGGAATCCAGCTTTTATGAAGCAGTGGATATGGCGAGAGGCCTTGTTGGCTCCTTGACTTCAGACGCCACTATCTGATCGCTCTCATGCCGGCAGGCATCATGTGCTGTTCTTCTTCTGCTTCTTTGTTACCACGTCCGATCAAGTCAAGTGAGATCTAATCAAAGCAGTCACAGCACAATGAGACCAGGCAAGGGCCATCAATTCAGCAGATGAGTCCGGGTTGCACAAATGGCTGCTGTCCAGTCTATGGTTTGACTTGGGCGGGCCATTTTCCTGTCCTCACGCATCTGATCTGACCGATCTGACGGACTCTGAAAGCAAATCGATAGCCGCAGAAAAAAAGGGGGATCGGGGAAGGACTGACGGAGGGTTTGGCATCTGCGTATTGGGGGGGGAAGACTGTGACGCGGCGTGGCGTGACTGGACTTTTGCGCACGCCGTGAGGGGTCAATGACAATGGCTCATGAAGATCGTTCTCTTGAGAGCCATGATTATTTTAGATCGAAGGACTTCTGGGACACATTCTTCGTGAAGAGAAAAGAAAAGCCGTTTGAGTGGTATGGGGAGTGGCCGGTGCTGAAGGAACTGATTTCAAAGACATGCAAGGCTGGTGACGATGGCGATGACATTCTGGCAGTGGGTTGTGGCAATTCCGAGCTGTCGGCAGAGATGTATGATCATGGCTTGACAAAGATCACAAACATTGATTTCTCCAAAGTCTGCATCATGCAGATGCTGACAAAGCATGTCCGACTGCGGCCAAAGATGCGCTGGCTTGTCATGGATATGACGAAAATGCAGTTTGCCGATGGGTCATTTGATGTCGTCATTGACAAGGGAGGGCTGGATGCCTTGATGCCAGAGCAAAGCGATTCAGCAAGATCAGCGGGTAAGGCATTATTATCAGAGGTGGGAAGGGTACTCAAGAAGGGGACTGGACGCTATATTTGTGTGACTCTGGCACAGACACACGTCCTTGAGGTGCTCCTGGATCACTTCAAGCTCCACTGGAAAGTGGTGGTTCACAGAGTGCCAGTGTCGGAGGATGTATCTGACCTGAAACCCTTCTGTGTAATTGTGAATCACCAGCCAAGCAGCTTGTCGGAGGTAGCAGCAAGACATGTGCCAGAGCCTGTGGATATCTCGTTTGACCCAGATTCGGCTGACGGAATAGACAGAGATCAGCTTACGTCTTTGTTGGAAACCATCAGAAAAGCGAATGAGGAGAGGACACACTACAGCGCGCAAGCAGCAGGGACTGTTGATTTGGAAAACACCTCAGGGCACGAGCATGCGGGTGCCCATGTGCATTCAGATGCATGTAGCCACTCTCATGACCATAACCATATCCATTCTCATGATCACCATGGGAACGCTTGTGCGCATACTCATGAACATGGTCATCACAACCACGATCATGATCATCATCACCATCTTGATCATCATCATGCTCACCCGCATGGCGCTGATCATGGGCATGCGCATGTCCATGGCCATGGGTGCTGTGAGCAACCGCACATGCGAGGGAAGGCAGTTACTCGGCGTTGGCGAGATCGGGATGGACCTGATGTTTTTTGGAGGCTGAATCCTGGCCGGCGCATTGTGGCGGAGCTTGGCGGAGAGGATCCTGAAGCAAAAGAGCAAATGACCAGAAATAGTGGAGACAACTCATCAAGAGTCTCCCGAGGCCGGTTTACTGCTACGGTGTTGGACGCGAAGAAAAGTGGGATGTCACTTGCACACAGATGTGCTGTCTTTCTTGTTCCCCAGGGAAGGGAGCATGAGTGGTTGTTTTCCTCGGAAGAAGGGCAGTGGCAGCTTGTCGAGAGGGCAGGAGCTGCAAGACTGATTCTGGTAGTTCTTAACCGTGGGCACAAATTTGGTGCAAGCAGTGAAGTGCAGGCTGAGCTCTCCCCGTTGGTGATAGGAGTGGCACCTGCAGACTGCCGTGATGGCCATGTGGCTATCCCGTACGTGACGACCGATGATGGTGTTGGAAGAAGGGTCATTCTTGAAGAGGTGGGATCGCCTCTGACAAGTCAAATGGTCGTGGAAGAAGTAGAGCTTCAGATGGACTCTGATGGAACTACAAAGAAGAGACCAACAACATCAGTCTTCCGGCGTTTGATCTTCTCACGAAACCCCAATCTCATTCAGACAGAAATGCTTCTTGTTCCCAAGGAACCATTATCTGCTGTGCGTGGAGAACAGGGGGGTGATTCCTCCGCCATTGTGGAACGGAGTGCAGGTGGAGGGAGAAGAAGATCTCGAAAAGCAAACACGAAGGCAGAAGGCAATACTGGCAGTGCGGAGGTGGCCAAGCAGGAGATGACCATCGATCATAGCTACTTGGCATGTGAATATCAAGAGGCCATGGTGGCAGGCCTATCACTGATCTCATCCTCCTTACAGAAAGTTGGTAATGGTGGTAGTCAGGGCCATGTCTGCATCATTGGTCTTGGTGGTGGAGCGCTCCCAATGTTCATGCACAAGTATCTCCCTGTGTCTCTGAAGATTGTTGAGCTGGATGCACAAGTCGTCAACGTTGCGAGGAAACATTTCGGTCTTGTTGAGGACCAGAGATTGCGGGTTGTTATTGGAGATGGCATTGAAGTTATTGGCCAAATGGCAAGAAAAGCAAGTGCAGTCATGGCAGAACATCAGCAAGCTGAGCCTTTAGATGCTTCGGCAGGTAGCTGTGGCCTTTCAGAGGGTGTTGGCCACAATGCTGATGACGGTGATAGTGGAAGCTGCCTCAGTGTGGAAGAGACAGAAGTCGATGCAAGTAACGGAACTGCTTCAAGCTGTGGTGTGAGTACTGAACGCCATGATGACCATTCCAAGGTGTCTTTTGGGAAGCAAAGGCCAGAAGCACATGGGGAAATTGAAGGTCCTGCCTCACTGGATGTTGTCATTATTGATGCTGACAGCGGTGATGCAAGTCTGGGAATGAGCTGTCCACCAGCGGCATTTGTGCAGGTGGAGTTTCTCAGGATATTAAAGGAGGTGCTCGTGGATGGAGGATTGCTTATCATCAATGTTGTCTCCAGGGCTGCAGGCCCATATACAGAAGCAGTAGAATCTGTAAAGCAGGTGTTCGATGAAGTGTACGAGATAAAGATGGACACTGATGTTAACTGCGTTCTCTTTGCGTTGGTGCGAAGGGATGAATCTCCAAAGAACAGCATTTTGAATGGAGGAGATTTGAAGGCAGCCGTAGCTACGATCACTGGCTTCATCACGCAGAGAGGCACATGTGCCTTGATTCCTAAGCTTCCAAAGCTCGTGTCAAGTTTGAGGGCACTTAAGCCAGTGGATAGGGCAGAGGAAACTGCAGCGGGCAATGTGGGGGACGTGTCTCAGAGTGGAGTGGGTCCCAAACCTTCCAATAGAGGGGGCAAGAGCAAGAGAGGAAGCGGTAGGATCGGGGGACATAGGTGACTGGCAGAAGAAGATAGCAGGAGGGGGTTCTGTGAAAGTGGCATTGTGGGAGTGGTATGTTTGTACCTGAATCCAAGCGAAAGGAATGGGGCATAGAAGGCTGAGAGAATGAGGAGAAGAAGGGGCCTGACTGAGCTAGGAGGGAGGTACCTGCACCCGCACAACAGGGGACATCAGGCATGTGAATGAATGGACCATGGCCTGGACTCGTGTATGATGCTAACAAATTTTGTTTCTGCAGTTTGGTGTGCCTGGCCGTTTGCGGATTCGGTGATGCCTCGTTTGTTCCTGCCTGAGCAACCCCGACAACATCCGGAATGGGATGCATTCTGCAGGAGAGGTTGAAGAGAGAGAGAGAGAGAGAGAGAGAGAGAGAGAGAGAGAGAGAGAGAGAGAGAGAGAGAGAGAGAGAGAGAGAGAGAGAGAGAGAGANGAGAGAGAGAGAGAGAGAGAGAGAGAGAGAGAGAGAGAGAGAGAGAGAGAGAGAGAGAGAGAGAGAGAGAGAGAGAGAGAGAGGATGGCACTGCTGACATAAGTTGAGCTCTTCAGACTAGGGTACATGTCCGGATGGGTGCAATCTAACAATGCAATATGACAATCTAAGCACCCCTCTTAAAGTTTATTGGCCGCGGGGATGTCCACGTGCGCCGAGTCTGTGGGGTCCATGGCCATTGGATTTCAGTATCAGTGGCCGAAAACAAAAAAAAAATTGGGCTCAACTTGGCACCGCTTTAGAACATGTCGTTCTTGCAGTAAGAGATGGTGCTTCTTTGCGCGATACGCACCTGTTCTTTTGCCGACGTGTTGTTGGTTACATTTTTTAGTCCCTCTGACAATGTCACAGGAAGCGGAGATGTCCGGTAAGCAAAACAGGAATGCTGATCGTGGGATGGCGGTGTCAGAAGAAGGAGCGTTACATGTTTTGTTTTCTTTTGTTCATTTTGCTTTGTCGTCGTTCGGGTGGTCGCTACCCCGTGGTCCGTACATGGTCATTTTTTCTCGCGTGTTGGATTTGAGAGCGGGGTGGGCCGGAAATCTGACGGCGTGCACGTTTCTTGATCTCCTGTCCAGTTTGATTTGTTTGTCCTCTTGTGAGGCGGGGCTGGAAATAGTGCCTTTGTGTGGGAACCTTCTTTCATTTTTTTGAATATGAAAATTCATGCACTAACTGCTATTTGTGTTTTACTCTTTATTGGAGCTGTAGGAAAATCCGCACAAATAGGACTCTATACTTGGTTACTGGACGCTATGGAGGGCCCTACCCCAGAATCAGCTCTGATTCATGCAGCTACTATGGTAACAGCAGGTGTTTCCATGATGGCAAGGTGTTCTCCCTTATTTGATCGGATGGTGCGCGTCGACCTTGGCCGATGGTGCAAGATCTGGCGCATCGACTGGCCCAAAGTGCCGCTTGTTCGGTCTTGGCCGATGACACAATTTCGATGTGCCATTTGTTGGGGTGGCGTGGGACCCGAAGACCAGGTGGCACACGTCTGGAAACCCGACGGCACAATTCCGATTTCACATTTGTTGGTGCGTTGCCGAGCCTGAAGTTGTGCGGGCTTGCATTAGGCAGGTCTGAACCGGCCCGCCGGAGTTGAGGGTTCTGGGAAAGGAACCCCAGCGCGGCAGCAGGCACACACGCATGCATGCATGGACACACACACATGCTTTGTGGGGTTGCACATACAGAACATGACAAAACACACACACATGTGAGGAGGCTCAGAGAGTCTTGGCTGTGGGTGTCGCTCCCACGGGCTGCCCTTTTGGAGCACATGGAAGATGGTGGTGCTTCCATGGTGTTTTAAGCAGTAGTGCTCCTGGTGTCGCATCCAGATTCTCTGAATGTATGTTTGGAGTTCTGGCCACAATATCTTGGCGAGGAGGCTCAGAGAGTGTTTGCTGTGGGTGCCATTCCCATGGGCTGCTCTTTTGGAGCACATGGAAGAAATGGCGACTTCCAGGGTGTTTTAAGCAGTAGCCCTCCTGGTGTCACGTGAAGATCTTGTGGTCTCTGGGTTTAAGGTACTCTATGCACTCCAGAGGCTAGACAGCAGATGGGGACTGTCTAGCCATGGAGTGATAGAGATAGTGGTGATGTGAGGTGGGTCATTTGGGAGGACTAGGAGTGCCGATGCTGCTGTACTTGTGGGCTGACTCGGAGGGCAAGTTTTTTTGGGACTATGCTGCCTCTAGTCAGTGCTTTCTTGCTGGTGGAGCCTTCTGTGTTAGGTATGTTGTCTTCTGCCCTTTACCTTTGTTTTTATAGATTGAAAAAACTATATATATTTGTGCAAGTGTGCCGCTTCAGCGGCAGATGGGTGTGTGGGCACTTCCCGCTCAACCACACAAACGTGGGGAACCTTGCACCTTCTATTATATTGCTCATCGATACTTCTGTTTATGGATGTGCAAGGAAAATAAGTAACAGCGAGATGACAATTCCAGATCACACCATCACATTGAAAGCCAAAGCCAAATAGTCACAGTGTCCAGAGAGCAGCAATGCACCAATAATACACCAATGGAGGTTCGTAGCACTGAAAACCAATGTTCATGGAGAGCATACTCTCTCCTCCCAACACAAGAGTCCAGTTCCTTCACACTCACACTTGGCGCTCAGCGCCCAGCCTACTCCTACACAGCTACTACAGACTACAAAAAGACAATGCAACTGTTGACATCAGCGGCAGCCCGAAGTACTTGAAGATGTCGCCCATGCAGACCATCGCCAAT